CACACCTCAATCCCTTCTCCTCCATTCTCCTCTCAGGATTTTGGTCACACACACACACACACACACACACACACACACACACACATGACCTCAGTTTTAAGCCATCGGGTCCAGCACTCAAACTGTGGGAGTCCAGTGACATAACCATTACGCCATCTGCTGGTTCCTGTTTTACCTCTTAACAGGATAAAACTCAAGTTATTTTTCCTACAGCACTCCCCCCATTTTAATTGTTAAGTCACAAACTAGTTCTGGGATAAAGCTACTGCTGATTACAATGATCATAGATGCCACATTTTTTCTGTGTATTTCAGTTCAAATTTAACAGATAATCCATGTATTATACTGCTTATCAATTTCATTGGGCACACTTTTAGTCATAAAAGAGAGAAATGCTTGGAGAGCTCTTCTGGACACATTAGATAAACAACGACATTTCAACGTATGGGCTCTTAGCTTACAACTGCAGTTAAAAGTTATTCTGGAAATGAAAATGGTGCTGATTTTCCACAAACCAATTTTTAAAATTTTTTTCATTTCTTCCATTTGAAGTTTTTTTTGTTTTTGAGAGGTTTTTGCTATAGGGTGCGTGTACTCGCCAGAAAGAGAGAGAGAGAGAGACAGAGTGAGAAATCACCCCCCCCAGGGGGATGGCCATGCCGCAATCCCTTCTCCTCCATTCTCCTCTGAGGATCTTGGGCACACATGCACACGCACCAGAAGTGAGTTTAAGCCACTGGGTCCGGGACTCGAACCACAGTTGACTACATGGGAGTCCAGCGACAGCCATTACACCATCTGCTGATCCCTGAAGTACTCTTTAGATGACATCGTTAGCCTGAGATTCCTTGCCATAGCCCTTTACTACAAAGCTGTAAACCTCTACTTTATAGGGTTTTCGCTGCCAATTTTACAGAGGCCTACCCATACTCCTAGTTTCCTTTTCTTTTTTTTTTTTAATAATTATTTATTTTATTTATTTATTCATTTATTTTTTAGTTTGATCAGAGAGAGAGAGAGGGTGAGAGTGAGAGAGGAAGTGAGAAAGCAAGCAACCAGATTCAGGACTCAAACCCTGGTCGGCCATGTGGGAGTGTCCAGCGCCTTAACCACCACACCACCTGCTGGTCCCCCATACTCCTAGTTTCTTGTCATCAACTTTGCTCAGGTTGACTTGGAGTCCTGCACAAAGGGCCTTGCCAACGTGACATTCATAGGTTCATCATCGCGAGCATACAGACAGCTGGGCATTACCTAAGGCACTGGACACTTTGTGAACTCCATTTGCTAGGTCATCGTGGATGAGGCCAGTCTTCAGCACCTCCTGTAAAGCAGTATTAATGTCCACCACACCTCCAGCGGCAATGTCTTTCTCAGCCCCGGAGATGGGTTACTGGTGGAGACAAATCTTGAAAGCACCCAAGCCTCTCCACTACTCTGCAGCAGCTGACGGGGAAAGAGAGTGGTGTTTTCTTGCCTTTTTTTAAAAGAGGTTTTTGCCTTAGGGCACCTGCCCTTGCCAGTAAAACCGAGTCAATGAGAGGGAAAGTGAGAACTCACCCCCCGCCCAGGGGAGATGGCCATGCTGCAGTCCCTTCTCCATGCTCCTTCCCGGATCTTGGACACAATACACATTCCCAAGCAGTGAGTTTCTAGCCACCAGTCTCAACCGGGGCCGGCCATGTGGAAGCCCAGCAATGGCATCACTAGGCCATCTGCTGGCCCTACCTTGGTGCTTTCTTAACATTAGCATGGGGGGGGGACCAGCATAAGGCGTAGGGGTTATGTCACTGGATTCCCACATGGCCAACTATGGTTTGAGTCTCAGACCCAGAGGCTTGAAAATCACATCAGATACATATACATGCATGTCTGACTGCAGTGTGGCCATCCCTCCTGGAGGGTTATTTCTCACTTTCCCTCTCCCTGTCTCTGTCTCTCTCTCTCTCCCTGGCAACCACACACACCCTAAGGCAAAACCTCTTTTAAAAAATTGCAGTATGTCTCTGTTCTATTGCAGTAGAGCAGGATTATTCTCATCTTCCTCCGAGCATGGCATCTTCTAAACCAGCCACACTCAGAGAAAAAAGTCCACCCTCGATACCATTTTCATTTTATAGTTATCAAACAAGTGAAGTTCTTTTTTTAAAAAAAACTTTATATTGGGACCAGCAGTTAGCGTAATGGCTATGTCGCTGGACTCCCACGTAGTCGACTGCGGTTCGTGTCCCGGACCCGGTGGCTTAAACTCACGCTGGGCACGTGTGCATGCGTGCCCAAGATCCTGAGAGGAGAATGGAGAAGGGATTGCGGCATACACACACACACACACACACACACTCAGTGCGCTTTTTTAAGCCACCAAGACTGGGATTCAAACCACGGCTGCCCATGTAGGATCTGGCTTCTTTTAAACATCAACTTGAGTAATTATTAAAAGTATTTTTTCCTTTCTTTTTAAAAAAGGTATTTTATATTTCTTTCTTTTTTTATCTAGTTTTTTTTTTCCCTTTTGTACTTTGCAAGAGGTCGTGTGTACTCACTGAAGACACAGAGAAAGAGAAAGGGAAAGTGAGAAAGCACCCCCCGTGAGGGATAGTCATGTCACAATCTCTTCCTCAATCTCTCCCCCTCTTTTCTGGATTTAGGGCACATATGTACATGCATCCAGTGTGTTTCTTAAGCAGTCAGGTTCAGGATTTGAACCATGCAGTCAGCCACGTGGGACCTAGACACCTTAACCACTGACCAGCTGACCACACACACACAAAAAATTTAAGAATTTTTATTATTTTAACTTTATTTATTTAAATTTGTCCAGAAAGGGACATAGTGAGAGAAAGAGAGGGAGGGAGAAAAAGCAAGCCACCAGGTCTGGGACTTGGACCACGGTCGGTGATGTGGGAGCCCAATGCCCTTAACCACCACGCTACCTGCTGGCCCCAACACAAAAATATTTTCTATTCAACTTTTCCAAAATGTTATTAGGATTCTTGTATTTATATTCATAAATAGGAATCTCTTAATTTTTTTAATTTTTAAAATTTATTCACAATAGAGCACAAGTGAGAGAGAGCTGAGCACCTCCACGGGATCTCTCTCAAGTATTTCTTTGCTTCTTGTACATAGTTAGACATAGTTTTGTTTTCTAAACTAGTGGCCTTAGACCAGCACCTGGTCTGGTGGTTAAGGCAGTCAGATCCCAGATGGCTGATCACAAAGTCTGAGTCCTGAACCCGGCGGCTTGAAAAACATGCCAGGTGCATGTGTTTATGTGCCCAAAATCCCCAAAGGAAGGCGAGAGCAAGGGATTGCATGTGACCATTCCAGTGGGGATTGCCTTCTCACTTCCCTTTCTACCTTTCCAAAAAGCATATATGCTGTCAATTTTTTTTTTAAAGAATTATTTATTTAATTCCATTTGTTATTATTTTTTAATTTGATGAGAAAGAAAGGGAAAGGGAGGAAGCAAGACACCAGGTCCAGGACTGGAACCAGTCGGTCATGTGGGAATCCAGTGCCTTTTAGCCACTACACCACCTGCCGGCCCACCCTCTGTCAAATTTTTTAAAAGTTTAAACTAATGGTCTTTCTTTATTTCATTTTAGGTTTTTCCAATAGGGTGTAAGCACTTGCCAGAGGAGACAGGGAGGAGCAAAGTGAGAAATCACTCCACAGGGGCATAGCCACACGGCAATCTCTTCTCCTCCATTCTCCTCTCAGGACTTTGGGCTCACAAGCACAAGCACCTGGTGTGATTTTTCAAGTGCCAAGTCTGGGACTCAAACCATAGCCGGTCATGTGGAAATCCAGTGCCTTAATCACCATGTCATCTCCTGGCCCCAGTGGCCTTTCTCTTTGAAGGTAAACTGAGCCTGTTTACATTTAATAATATTACAGGGATAATAAATGTTCATAGAGTCCATGCATAAGCAAATGCCTTTCAGATCATTCATACCTACTTCCTCTTGTTACTGTACGTAAATGTGCAGATGTATAACGAGCAACAATGTAATCTGAGGTGCTCAGTTAACTTGATGATATGCCATGTGAATTAGACTGACTCGTCTGCTTTTTCTTCCAGTGAAAATAGTACTTTCTTATGCAAAGATTTCTCTCAGTTCTTCAAACAGGACAGGATAAAGTCCCTTCTTAAATTTAAATTTAAATATATACAGTTAGGTTTGACAAAAGACCTGATGTGAATGTCATTTAACAAGAAGAATCCAAAGAACTTAAGTAAATATCTACAAACATTAAGGTTTTCACCACGGCACAATCCTAACCCGCAATCGCTATAGCAGTTCAACTGTCTTCACATCTGGCAGTAACATGCGAGGGAATGTGCTGATGAGCAAAATTACAAAAGGAACCCAAGGTCACTTAATCAAAAGCCACGGCAACAGTGGAACCCTGGGAATGCAGGTCAAGGCAAGAGGCTGCAGCTGGGCACATACGATACCATCTGCCTAATTTTCACTTAGAAATTTGCTACAACAAATACAGTATCTCCTCTGAGTTACTAGAAAACAATGAGTATCATCTATTGCTACTCCGTGACCACGAATCTGAAGTATTTTCTAAATGGATGATTAAAAGAAAAAGGTCTGTAGAAAGAACACTTTTTAAAATTATTTTATTTTTATTTATTTTTCATTTGATCAGAGAGGGACAGAGAGAGAGAAAGCCGCCAGGTCCAAAACTCGAATCACAGTCAGCCAGGAGGGAGTCTAGCGCCCTTAACCATCATGCCACATGCCAGCCTCTAGAAAGAACACTAAAGTGTGGTTGGGTTTTTCCACCACTGTGTGAGATACGCCTCCCTTGAACCTTACTGTATCAGCACAGTAGCAGGTGAAGTGAGGGGGAAAAGGCAGGGAAGAAAACACTAATCATTCTCACTTGTTCACAATAAAAGCTCTATTAGTGAATTTAAAATATTAGTCGGTATTTGGACAGTAAGACTCCTTACATTAAAAGTTCCATGGTGAAAACTAAGATATACTTAATTTTGCTTTAATATCAAATTAAACAGAGCAACTTAAAAATTCAGTAAGAGCATGAGTTAGTCTGATTCAAGAATTGCTTCTAAAATTCGACCTCCTAGCTTCTCTTTAGGAATGTAACTCTTCTGTAGATTAACTTTTAGAGGAAAATACGGAAAATCAAACCCACAGCACAATGGTTAAGATATTTCTTCCTCAGCATCAGGCAAAAAAAGTGCTATTGTCCTCTTACATGCTGCTCTATTTCAACAGATGATTCAACTGGTCCTGTAGGTCTGATGACTGTTCAACGCTAGAAATTAAAATAACAGGTTTATCTGTAAAGAGCAATAAAGACATCTCTATGTATAAATTATTTATATTTTAATGCATAAATACTGCTGCAACTAAATCAAAAAAAATTTTTTTTTTGGAGAGATTTTCACTGTAGGGCACGTGCGCTCGCCAGACAGACAGAGAGAGACATAGAGACAGAAAGCGAGAAATCACCCCCCAGGGGGGATGGTCACACCGCAATCCCTTCTCCATTCTCCTCTCGGGATCTTGGGCACGCACGCACACGCGCCCGGCGTGAGTTTTAAGCCACTGGGTCCGGGACACGAACCGGTCGACTACGTGGGAGTCCAGCGACATAGCCATTACGCTAACTGCTGGTTCCCTAAATCAAAATTTTTAACCGTTCACTTGGAATCCAGAAGTGTTTAAGGTATGAAGAAAGCCAATCAGTAGTACAAGCAACATTGCCAGGTATAACTTTAACCCACTTAAGAAAACAAGGATATTGAATGACTTTCCACATTTACGGTACTAATATTACCAATGTCAACGGTTTTCTACTCCTTAAGTTTGGCCCCCCACCCTATAATTTTAGAATGCTTTTACTAGTAGTCAATCGAGTTACTGCGTGCTTCTGAAATACAGTGTGTTCTTTAAATTCCAAACTATCCCAGAGCACATCAATTTAAGGGCATATGACAACCAGAGTTTGCAGGAATCCTGGGCCCAGCAGGGTAATTCCCCAGCCCGTTTCAGTTGGTTCTCCACTCCCCTGCCTTTGGAGTTACTTACTTCTTCTGAATAGCTTCTTGCCTAAACCAGAAAAGGAAAGGAAAATAAACATAAGAAAACCCAGTGAATTAGTAGAAGCTATTTATGGCCAGATACATATAGGCAAAACAAAGCCCTAGCTTACATTACATTCTGTATTTCTTATCTTATCCTAAGATTGTGCTATTGAACAGGATTTCCTGGTCTAAGTGCAGACCTGCTGAAAATGTGGATTCGAAACCTAACGAAGTAATGATACTTTCCCAGAATGAGGGATGTGGCCTAACAAACTAGTGATACCACGCACAGCTCAAATTTAGGCTGGGTATGTGAAGTAGAATGGTCATACCTAATGCATACATACCCCAAAAATGAATATGACAAGCATTAGCTATTTAAATATCAAGAGCTAAATTCCCAATCATATATCTTAAATAGGCACCTAACTATAATATCAACTACATAAAATATAACGTGAAATAAGACGTAAAACAAATTACGATTTTATCCACGAGTGTACTAAAGCAGCAGTCCCTGTATCTCACTCTGCTAGGTGATTTATATGTCGCTGTCTTCCCTGTGGACACGAGTTAGTTACACATGACCCCTATGATAACAGACACCCCAGGAGAGAACTTAGACACACTCGGGCTGCAAATACTGATTAAGTGACTCCTTGGTGCCACCGTGCTGCCATGGTCTTGGCATGGGTCCAATCCTTAAGGGGTTTAGAATTTTTCCAGTTGAGAAGCCCTTAAATTAACACATGGGGGACCAGCAAGAGGTATAATGCTTATGTCGCTGGACTCCCATGTAGTTGACTGTGGTTCAAGTATCAGATGTGGCGACTTAATATTCACGCCAGGTGTGTGTGCGTGCATGACCAAGATCCCAGCATGGCCATCCCCTGAAGGGTGCTTTCTTGCTTTCTGTCTGTCTCTCTGAGTGCATGTGCCCTATGGCAAAAATCTCTCTCTAAAAAACAAAAACAAAATTAACACATGGAAGTCCATAAAAGGTCACCCCTGCTCCTGATCGCTCCCTCGACCCTAACTTCTGTAGTCTCAAGCATCTCTACCACAAGAGGCAGCCAACCTTGACCAACCCCACTTTTTTCCCCACTTATGTCTTCCACAAGAGCGACAGACAGCCCTCAGGTTCAAGCAGATCCAGGATGTACATCCAGAGCCCTCCTCTATGGCCTCCAGCATTGTGCTGTCAGCACCCCTGCTGCCTGTGCCACTGCGGCTGCGCTGACCAACCCCACCTTTACTCCCACTCCTGCCTCACAGGAAAACAGGCTGGACCCTAAGGCAATGAGAGCCAAGGATGAGGATAAGACTTTGCAAAAGTAGCTGCTGGACAGGGCATACTCACTGGTATTGAAGATGTGTTGTTATTATAGCCATTTTCCTTAAACTCTGCATTAAAAAAGAGAGAGAAGCAGAACATTCTACTTTCTTGTGGCCAAACTATTTGTATAAAACCCAAATCATAAAAGAGCTCCTTACGTCTTCTGAGTGCAAGATGGCATCTTCCTGTAGGACCATGTTTCGCGCTGCCTGACCTAGCAGCTGGAAGATAAAAATAAAATGGTAATCATCAAAATCCCCGAACTTCCTGTAATCTTCTCTCTGCAGCTGTTCCACCACTATCCTCTCTCCCTGCCACTCCTCTACCCTATTCAACCACAAACACTCCAAACGTAATTGAGGATAATTTCCCATTGTTCGTGTTGAGCGTTCATTTCATTGGCACCATGGCAGTTCTGGCATGGGCTCGACATCTGTTCCAAAAGCCACCCCCTAAGAAAGCGAGTGCTCTGTAACTGCTGAGCCCTCTGGGCAGCCTTCTAACCAAGTGCTGAGAGAAAGTCTGCAGAAAAATCTTTGGCTCCACAAATCCAGTGCGAGAACCTAACTTCTGATTATAAGGCAGGTTTGAGACTCAGGGTGGTTTGAGAGGAATAAGGAAATAGAGTTCAGGTAGAGCTGAAGAAGACAGAAGGAATGTAGGTGTTTAGAAATGGAATGAGGTGGGTCAGTAGGTGGTATGCAGGTTAAGGCACAGGACTCCCTCATAGCCTACTACAGTTCAAGTCCCAGACCTGGTGGCTTGCTTTCTCACTTTCCCTCGCTCTCTCTCTGGTTAATAATAACAATAATAATAATAAATAAAATTATTCTTAAAAGAAACAAGGAAGAAAGAAAGAGAAAGAGAGAAAGAAAGAAAGAAAGGGAATGAGGAGCCAGCAGGTGGTGTAGTGGTTAAGGCACTGAACTCCCACATGGTCGACCATGTGGGAGTCCAGTGTTTGAGTCCTGGACCCAGCAGCTTGAAACTCATGCCAGGCATGTGTGTGCATGCCCAAGATCCCAAGAGGAGAATAGAGAATGGACTGTAGTGTAGCCATCCTCTCCCCCCAGGGGTGATTTCTTGCTTTCTGTGTCTCTGTCTCTCTCTGTCCCTCATGTAAGTGCACATGCTCTGTGGCAAAAATCTATAAAAAAAGGGAGGGGGGGAATGGAATGAGAGGGCCAGCTTCCTGGCCTAGTGGTTAAGGGAGCTGAATCCCACCTGACAAACCATGCTTCAAATCCCAACCCTGGGCACTTGATAAACACACCACATGTGCACATATGCCAAAATTCAACAGGGTGGAGAAATGGAGAAGGGACTGTGGCGTGACCATGCCCCCTTGGGGGTGCTTTTTCTGTCTCCCTCTGTGATTCTCTAGCAAATGTACATGCCTACTGGCAAATCGAAAGAAAAGAAAAAAAGAAACAGAAAGGAAGAGGAATGGAATGGAATAGAATACAGTAGAATCAGAGTGAGGGAAAAAGGCATGGGAAGAAACGTGAGGCTTACAGTAGGAAACCACCACATCAAAGATGGCAAGATAGCCAGAGAGAAGGAAGGAGAAATGCAGAGGCAGATTTTAACGTGCACACAGGTAACTGGGCCCTGAGACCAAGAGAGAAGCCGAGCTCAGATTCAGCTGTGGCCTGTGGTCAAGGCACATCTGACTGAGTTAGCACTGAGAGGCCAGCAGAGATCAACAGATTTGTGCCTTACTCCGCACCCTGCTCCTGCGCCTGGCAGACGTCAGCCATGTAACAGGAGCGACTGCAAGTATATCCTCCAGCCCCCTCCCACTGGTCAGGGATATGTTCTGGTGAAAGGGGGGCTGACGACTTCAACTGCTACAGTTGCAGATTCCTTCTCCCGTGGCAACTGTTATTTATTGGTTTGTGTGTTTGTGTGCGTGTGTGGTGTTACAATCCTCCTGCTTCAGCTTCCCAAGGAGCTGGGACCAAAAGGCATGTGCCACACTACTCAACTTTTTAGGGTGTGCTGGGAATCAAACCAGGGTTCATATGCGGCCTCAGCCCTCGGAGCAGCAGTGTCCAGCACATGCTGTCACAGCTGGGCCTGATTTAAGTTTTAAAATTAATAAAGTTTAATTTGCATCTAAAGTCAAAATAGTAAGGCATTCCATCCCTTTAACTTCCTTTCCCTGTTCTGTCTCCTCCAGGCATAACTGTTTTCATTAGTTTCTGGTTTCATCTTTCCACTGTTCCTTTTTAAAAAATTATTTATTTAAATTTTATTCTTTTTTTTTTTTTTTGAGAGATTTTCACTGTAGGGCGCGTGCGCTCGCCAGACAGACAGAGAGAGACATAGAGACAGAAAGCGAGAAATCACCCCCCAGGGGGGATGGTCACGCCACAATCCCTTCTCCTCCATTCTCCTCTCGGGATCTTGGGCACGCACGCACACGCACCCGGCGTGAGTTTTAAGCCACCGGGTCCGGGACACGACCCGCGGTCGACTATGTGGGAGTCCAGCAACATAGCCATTACGTAACTGCTGGTTCCCATTCATTATTATTTTTTAATTTGCTATAGGGCACATGCACTCATGAGAGAGAAAGAGAAAGTGAGAAAGCAAACCACCAGGTCCAGGACACGAACCACGATTAGCCATCTGGGAGTCCAGCACCTTAACCACCAAACCATCTGCAGGCCCCTCCACTGTTCTTTTTTAACACAATGGACACATACATTTATTCTCCCCCTACACTTTCCTACTTAAAATGCAACATACTATATGCAGTTTTCCACATCTTATTATATTTTACTCCACAATACATATGTTTCTGAGGTCTGCAACAATATAGCACTGCTCTTTTTACAAAATGCAAAGTAACACACTATATAGATGTACTTTAAGATTATTCGGCCAGCCTGATGGTGCAGTGGTTAAGGCAGCTGGATGCCACACGGCCAACTGCGCAGTTTGAGCCTTGGACCCAGCAGCTTGAAAGAACACTTCAATCCTCTAGCACTCCAGCCTTTCTTTTCCACCTGGTCTTCCAAAACCTCCCATCCTGGAACCCAAGATACCATGAACTTTCACACTCCACGTGTGCCTGCTTCTTGAACCGAGTTGAGAGTAGATAGACTCCCTTCACTCTTGGTTATCCAGTGAGAGCTACCTCCATAGCTTTTTCCAAACAAGAAACAGCACATTAGGTCCTGGGTGGTTAATATTGCCTCTCTAGTCAGAGTGCAAGAACCGCAGCTTAGCCTGTTCCCAAGGCTCCCTTCACACCAGCAGGATCTCCCTCAAGGTCACTGTCACTCTGTCACTAATGGTCGCACATGAGCCCATCTCCCTGCAGTTCCCCTATCAGCATTCCTAATTGACTTCATCGCTACTAAGGCCATTTCATTACAAGCAGGGTGCCTTTTTGTTATTGTGGCTGATGCAACTGTTTTGTGAAGCCATGCGTGGAACCCTGACATACCAGAAAGCAGAAAAAAAGTTACATGTAGAGAATTTTCATCTACATCCTTCACTCCAAAGAGTGCTCATACAAACCAAATTTTCTAGCTTTCTCATTAGACTTATGTCCCTTTTTTCCCAAAGAGAGATAATATCACAATATTCTTTAAGCACTCTCCCCATACTTCTTTGATGTAGGAACCAGACCAGCTACAATTTATTCTCTCTTCCTTTTATTCAAGGGAGAGGGGAGAGCTGGCTAGTTTGGCCTGGTCCTCGCTTTTATCACAGAGGAAATAAAGAAAGGAAGAAAGAAAAAAGGTGCCCTAAAGTGGATAAGAGTGCTGCTAAACTGAATGCTGATACAGATTCTGTCTTGGTCTTCTAAGTATCATATCTTATAGAAATGTATTTTTCTTTTAGTTTTTGCAGTAAGGCACAAGTACTTGCCAGAGAAACAGATAGAGAAAAAGAGAGAAAGGGAAAGTGAGAAATCAGTCTCCAGGTCCAGGACACGAACCACGATTAGCCATCTGGGAGTCCAGCACCTTAACCACCAAACCATCTGCAGGCCCCTCCACTGTTCTTTTTTAACACAATGGACACATACATTTATTCTCCCCCTACACTTTCCTACTTAAAATGCAACATACTATATGCAGTTTTCCACATCTTATTATATTTTACTCCACAATACATATGTTTCTGAGGTCTGCAACAATATAGCACTGCTCTTTTTACAAAATGCAAAGTAACACACTATATAGATGTACTTTAAGATTATTCGGCCAGCCTGATGGTGCAGTGGTTAAGGCAGCTGGATGCCACACGGCCAACTGCGCAGTTTGAGCCTTGGACCCAGCAGCTTGAAAGAACACTCCTGGGGCCTGCAGGTGGTATGGTGGTTGAGGCGCTGGACTCACATGGCCAACTGGGTATGAGTCCCAGACCTGGTGGCTTGCTTCCTCTTTTCCTATCTTTCTCTCTGGTGTGCACATGTGCCCAAAATCCCAAAAGGAGAAATAGAAGAGAAGGGATTGCAGTATAACCATCCTCCATGGGGGATGCTTTTTCACTTCCCTTCTCTCTCTCTCTCTAGCAACCTTCAACTAGTCCTCTGCTGTTCGACTTTAAGGCATATCTAATCTTTTGCCATTGTAAGCGGTGCTACAATATACGTATCTTTGCCTCTTTTGCCAGCATATCTTTGAGTCAGACTCACTGAACTGTGATTGCTGAGGTTTTACTTTGGCTACGTGTTGCCAAAGTTCCTTCCTGAGGGGTGCACCATTTCACATTCCTATCAACGATGAGGAAAGTGCCTGCTGCTCCCCGAAACCATGTTTAAGGGGTAAACTTCAAAACCCTAGAGATGGGGATGGCGACGGACAAACTACAGTACAATCAAGCCCCAACATACAAACCTTTGGGGGACAACCGACCACAGCCCACCAATACCAAACTCCAAACCATGAACCTTTGAGGGACAAACCACTATCCACACTGTGACACCATTTGACTGACACTGAGTGATTACAATGTGCCAGCATCTGGAGAAGGTAATAATGGGGCCCACAATCTGGAGGGGTTACAAAGAGCACAGGGGCCCACTGGTGGCACAGCGGTAGTGCAGTACTCCACAATGCTGGACCCTGGAAGTTCCTGGGTTCACATCCCGAGGCTTCTCTGCATCAGGTGTGCGAGCCCGAGATCCAGGCTGGCTGAGGCTGGATCATGGTGTGAAGACTACGTTGGGGGTACCTATTACTCCCTTCCTCTCTCTCTC